GACGCGTTTGGCTAGTGTTTTGTCCGCCCTCGACCTCCACCTAATCTCCTCCTCTTTGTCCCACCACAATATTTAGTACAGTTGCATTACTTAGTCTAAACTTCCCTTCTTTAAACACCTCTTTTCCACCATAATATGTCCCTGGAAAGTATCCATAAGCGTACGAATGGGTTCATCCCCGAGCGCCCCAGGCTTTGATGAGATAGCGGGCGCTCCGAGGAACAGTAAACTTTTGTATAGTACAAAGCGTCCTCTATATGCACCAACCCCAAATCCAGCTATAAAAATAAATAAAAGGGACTTAAATTTGCTAATATAAGTGACAAATGCCAATGGAAATGTGGATTAACTTCAGTCTGTGGCTTAGTCCTTTTGCCTATCTACCTGTCCGTCTGGACCTTTTTTAGTTTTTCTTTTTCTCCAGAGAGATGTGGTCTCCCTTAGAATCCAAAGACTCTTACCTTCATAAGTTTTTCCATTTCCGAAAAATCCAGTTTTGCAGGCACAGCGATAAGATCCTACGGTGTTCTGGCAATGAGCGTTAATGCCACATACGGATGGAGAAGCGGTACACTCGTCGATATCGGTGAAAAAGAATGATTTTTTTCCCGATTTTTTCTCAGACACTTCTAAGAACTTCTGACCAGGGCTCATTCCTCAAATAAAAGCGATTTTTCTTGCTTCCTTCCAAACTAATTTTATAACTTCAAAGATACATCTCTCCTACGCAACCTTCTATCACCTTAAAATAACACTTAGAATAGCAAAGACGTGCGTAACAATGTATTGTGGAGTACCCTTCCTCAACTTTTCAAGAATCGGCAGGAATTAATTCAGCAGTTTGCTAGACTGGGCTCTTTCAGTTAAAGTTTGTCTGCAGTATCTAGCACCATGTTTGGGTTGGATCTAAGCCCCCTCCCCCCATTCCCCTCTCCCTCCTTTACCTCTGCCATCTAAGCGCATATTTGTCTCTTTTCCCAAAAGCATCATCCCGACATTAAATCGACCACGCAAGGGCCATCCATGCCCTAAAGACGTTTTGAGAGTATCGACGCAGGAGGCTGAATTGTGAAAGAGATGATCTTGAATACCACTGGCGTACTCTTCAATATCTGTCCGTACAAATTAGTAGGTTGTTGAAAATTATGATGAACAGTGACACAAGGTATTTCGTCATCGAAGTTTCTGGTTTAATAGGACGCCTGACACAATTTGAGATATGCCGATTCTTTCTATCGCCCCGTCGAAGTGCTCCAGGTGTAATGTTTGTTGAAAGAAAATATATGACATGTTAAGTGAAAGTGAAAGTGAAAGTGAGAGTGAATGATTCGATACCTTAATAGCAGCATAGGCTGAATTGCTAAGGTCTCCAGTGTTACTAGGGTTAAATACTCTGTCCTCGTCAATTTTTCTTGGATACGAGTCTAGCTATTTTTCCATCAGCATTTTATTCTATAGTTTCAGAATCACGATAAGAAATCGTGTGCGTTTGTAAAGAAATAAAGTGTGCCAGTTCTGTCATGAGATGCAAATCCAGTCTACGATAACAACAGGGTTTATATGATTTTTAATTGTGCATGTGTTTCCATTTCCAAACCAACTGATAATCTTTTCTGAAATAGCTGTATGTCACAAATGCTGATATTTAGATATTACAAAAATAATGATTGAAGTATTGATACCTCATTGAGCTAAATGCAAGCATTTCAGAAAATATTTTCACAGCGTATTGATACCTCATTTGGCTGGTCCTCTTGTCATGTTTTGAGCCTGGATTCTACTGAAAAATAGGACTGCATTCCTTTCTTTTTTAAAAGATGTGAACTATTTGAAACAGTCTCACTAATATTTAATTTTTTTTTCTGTGAACAATGACTTTACAAACCAAATGCAGTGAATTCACAGGGAAACAAGTAGTTTCCCAAGATAAAATATTTTTTTGGAAAAGTGCCGGATGAATAAAGAAAATAGTATCAATTGATATGCCATTCATTTACTATAGAAATTATCATTGGATCATTTATACAATGTTGATGTAATTACACTGGCAAATATTTATTAATTCCACATTTGCAATGATATAACAACTTGGTGAACCACTGGTTTCTCTGTGGAATGTAGCCAGCACACTTGATCACCCCTCAAAATTCAATGTTATAAGGCAATTTTAAAGATGGAAATTGCAAACAGAAAGAAATCATTCCAGCAATCAAAAGGGTAGCATAAATCCATCAGTTGATTTGGTAGTTAATGCAGACTATCTGAGAATCGAAGTATATCTCAATATAGCATTTTGGTTTAACTAATCGGCTAAACATCATATTTCCCATTGCAACATTGAGTTTCTTTGGTGCATACTGCAGAGATTAGTAAAAAGTGGTAATAAATATGAACAGTAATGCCTAAATGGTATTTGATGTCGCTGGGACAGACACATTTTACCTGTTATCGTATCATTTCCACTGTCTAGCCATTTTGTAAATATTTCTTGAGTGAACATTTTATAATCATTTGTCTGAATACACTCAAGATGTCTTTCGATCTCGTGTCGTCTCGGCTTATCTGTGAAATCCACGCGTTTCGGCGAGCTTCTGTTAGCTGTTTGTAACTTTCACCGTTCTTCTCAACAACTATAGGTATACGGAACAGACTAATACTTTCCTTGTTTCCAGATTTTACTCCACAGCCAAGTATTATACAGAGAGCCATAGCACTACAACTCACGCCCATCTCTCTCTAAACGTCTCTGTTTACTTTTTGAGGGGCTCCACAACCCTGGAATGGCGGTTAACGAAGGTTGTCAATGACTGAGGTCACGTGGTGAAAGCCAAGTTTTTCTTATTTACTGCCGATTGATTTCATTTATTCAGCTCTAGGGAAATCGAATGGATGACAAAAACACGAAACTACATCTACCAGACAGGTGTTAGCTGTGTTCAATTTTTATTACCGTATGTAACTTTACAATCTGACTAGGCATGAAAGCCTTCGGAACTCAAGTTGTCCATTCTGCTTTCTCTTGAAGGATTTTCGTCCTTGTACGCGTTGTAATATTGCAAATCCCGGTACTTGGCGTGCCTACATACCTTTGATTGGTTCTTCTTCTCGCTCACTTATTCCAAAATTCACTTTTAATTAATCAACGAACAAACGCCAGACACAATAGAGTATTTCTGTCGAGGAACTATTGGCTGGTAGTTGCCCCTCGAAAATTTAATGTTCTTAAAACAAATATTTGCCTCAGAAGCAAAGCTTCGAGGGAAAATATGCTAGTTTTAAGAACATCAAATTTCCATGGGGCAACTATCAGACCACTACTTCCGAGACATAAACGCTCTATTGTCATTATTGTTCCGCGCACCAGTTGAAAAACAGTCAAAACCCACTAAATGCAGGTCAATCAAATATTTATTCATGCTTACAGCCTGTCACAAATTTCAATAACTCGCAACCGATTTAAACCTATAAGAACCAGAGAAAATTTAGTGGTGAACTATAAGGGCTGATAGTGTCTCTCCACGGATGGATACTATCGCGTCACGTTATCAATTTAAAACAATAAGAATCGGAAAAAATTTAGTGCTGAACTATAAACTCTGATAAAGCACGCCCTTTTGACCAATGAGAGCGCACGTTGTATCCAACCTCTATCACAATTATAAACATTACCCAATTGTCTGAGCACATTTTTCGGAAAACATAAAGGGTGGTATTTTTACTTTTCAATTTCCCTCTTTTTCTTATATCTTCAGAGCACCCGGGAATCGATGGTATGCCCAACGTTGATTTAACCCTTCCGATAAATGAGTCAGCCATAACCTATGAGAGCTTACTTTCATGGTAACTCACTTTTATGATCTGGAACTCCATAATCAGACTTGCATACATTTTTTTTTTCCTTGACATAACATCAACATTACAAAATATTACATAACAAATATTAGTTACAGATACTAGTTATATTGTCATTGGCTTAGATTCCCACAGGGAAAAGTGTCTGTCCGGCACACGTACAAGTCATAATCCTTTTCGACATTGTCATCTCAAATGTATGTTTTTTGTTCTAGACACCCTCCCCCCTCCCCCCCTCCTTTTTCTCACAGACAAGGTTTGGTGGTAGGCAGGAAGGGATGAGTTGTAACTTAGCGAGGTGCCTCGAAATATAGAAAACCCTTCTTCCCCCCACCCCTCCCCCCATCCACTTAAATCTGTCTATTTGTCAAGGTTTGTTTCTTCAGTAAATGACTTGAACCCGGGGGTAACATGTGAAAGTATCATGTGATCGTCCGGGTGAGCATAGTCTTGAGAAGGACTGTTGTCGATGGTTGTGACGTACGTTTGGACAACCTGTGTGAAAGTCATCTTGACCCCTGACTCTTCGTTTGTCCCTTTGCTATTATTCTTCTTTTCTCGTGTTATTAAATCTAAAATGTCACGTTATTTGGCCGCAGTTTTAAGGACATTTGAAATATTTCCATTAGAAGATCATGAAGTTCACAAACGATATACTAGAGAACTTTTTTTTTATTAATAGCTTTGCACTAAGTTTCCAGTATTAACTATTAGCAACAGCTTTGAATGAAAGTTTTAACCTCACGTTTGTTTATTTCACAATATATTTCTTATTATTAAAAATTGGATCATTGGATAACGCAATCCGAGACTTTTTATTGGCTTAGCCA